TGAGGAGACCAGGTGTTGGAGGACCTGAGGAGACCAGGTGTTGGAGGTCTTGGAGGATCTGAGGAGATATGGATCAGTCTGACCACTGAATCATTCTGCTTCAGCTTTGGTCCAGTTTAAAGTCTCTTGTTTTGAAAAGTATTTATGATCTCTGTTTTGAAACTTAAAGATGATTTTCTTCCCTCTTGCTGTAAGACTTAAAAAAAGAAGAAACAGAGAAAATTAAAATAAAGTCAGATTAAAAGTTGCCAAAAAGTCTGAAGTTAGGATTACTGCTGGCAGCCATGTTGGAAAAATACAGATTCAGAACGAGTCGCTCGTCACGTTTGACAGATCCGGCCTCTTCGTTCTGACCGGCCGACAATTAACCCAGTTAGTTGTAAAATGCTCCTCCGGCTGTTTTTAGTCCTGTTTGAAACGTTTCTTCTATTGTATTTAAATTTTTTGCTTATGGGGTTTCCTGGAGTTGATAAAGTTTTTCTAACGGTGACCTCATCAGTTTCAGTCACAGACCAGCTCCGGAAAATGTTTTTGTTCACCGTGTCATTACGTCAGAGCTCTGCTCCGGCCGAGGACATTTCAGCCGCACCTGAGAAGAGCAGCACATTTTTCTTCTGTCAGCTGAGGGCTCGTGATGTTCCGGTAAGATTCGGACACGCCTGCCTGTAAATCATCACAGCTGAGGCGCCATATGAGAGACTGTTACACTTTGAGAAAGGTCCGTCTGTCCTTATGATATCTGATGATGAACTTTGACCCCAGGAAACTTTTTCCTGATTAAAGTTGTTCATTTATTTTCATCAGAGCTCGACTTCTGTTCTGGAAGAACTTTAGACTTAATTGAAGCTTAATGTTTACCGACTAACCCGTGACACCAGGAAGTTCAGCGACTAACAGAAATAGGAGCCGAGCTCGACTTTATTTTGGGTGAAACCTGATCTGATGTGATCTCTGCATGCGCAGAACTGTGCAGAAGTCCTAATCCAGTCCTCATCTCTGCATGTTCCATCAAGGCTGTGAGATGGTTCCGGCGGGTGGATCTCCGGCCGTTCTGAAGACCTTTCAGAGCTCATGTTTTTATACGTTTGATGATTTTTCACATTTTTCAAAGCAGTCGAATGAACCAAATTCCTTGTAATTATTCTTAAACATAAGAAAAATAATTAGCAACTTTTCCTCTATAAAAACAAATACATTCAGAAATATGCCCACATATAATGTGAATAAAAAGACGACGTTAGGACAGAATAAAACATGTATTTAAAAGATTATAATTCATGCTTTCACTTTAATTTACTTTACTACATTCAATTACTTTATGACTTACTTTTGGCCTGACAGCTTACCAAACCTGATGCATGTTTTGTTAGATAGTCATCCCTGCATTTCAGGTTAGCACGTTATTAAGAAAAATGTTGGGCTGGAGCCAGGTTAAGATCCTGAGGTCATAATTAAAACTATTTTTAAACTGAACAGGTTAATTATCCTTATGACTTCTTGGAAGCAGATCAATTAAAGGTCCGAGTCTGTAAGGAGGATCAACAAGTAAACGACAAAACAGAGACTCAAACTGAGTAAATGTCAAAAATACCAGAGACCAGATGTTGGAGGTTTTGGAGGACCAGAGACCAGATGTTGGAGGTTTTGGAGGACCAGAGGAGACCAGTTGTTGCACGAGAATCAAAAAGTAATCAACAAATGAAAGACTCATTAAACTTACGAGTAAACGTCCACACTAAAATATAATAAATTTATTAAAATTAGTCGCTGGGAGAAAAGAAGTGGCCTAAGATGAGTTAAATAAATGATTGAAATCTGCTTTTCGCATTAAAGTTTTTATTGGTCCTTATTATGGCGCCCTCTGGCGGTCATACTATGCATTACATCTCCTCTGCTCGTATTTTATCCGTGTTTTGTCATAAATGGCTTTTAAAATCGCTTCTGGACTTTTAAAATTAACTCAAAGGGTTAAGTTTGGTCGGAATGTTTTAATCTCGTCAACTTGCACCGGAAAATTTACGGTTGAACACGACCGACACAACCGGCGCTTCATCGTCGCTCCGCGCAGCGGCGCAGGTAAACTCACGTCCCCGGGGCTGACGCTCTGGTTCCGGTTTAGCTCAGTCAGGAAAGCTCCGGGTTCAGTCGCGGCCTGCTACAATTCATTTATCTTATTTTAGTGAAAACAGTCAAATTAGTATTTTAACTGTTAAGCGAGATTGAGATATTACATATCAGACAAGAATATTCCTGAAAAAGCTTAATTAATTACAACCAAACTTCATGCACAAATGTGTATTTTTCCAGTGTTTTTGAAATTTATCAACTTTTGATTAACCAACGTGTACAAGATGCAAAGTGTAAAAAGTGTTTATCACCAGCAACACTTCGGCTTATATGTTGTAAACAAATGTGACACATTTTTAGTAATTTAAGGCAAAGTTATAAAAGAACAGTTGGACCGAAACATATTTTTTTATGACAATAATTAGTTTTCATGTAGGCCTGGTCTGAGTCTTATGTTAAAAATAAGTATTTTTTTTATGGTAAATCTCCACAGACCTGAACCTTTGACTCTTCCTCTCCCACAGGGTCAGACAGCTGTGCAGTTCTGTCCTACAGGTTCACCGGGGACAAGGAGGTGGACCTGATGTCCACATTTGTACCGGAGACATTTAGAGGTCAAGGTATCGCCGCCTTGCTCTCACAGGTAAGAGTTTCATGTGTCTTCTGTCTAGTATTATATGTGAAATTCTTAAATGTGCTTTTTTTGTTTGTTTTTCAGGCTGCTGTGGACTTCCTGTTGGAGGAGAACCTGAAGGCCCGGGTCTCCTGTTGGTACATAAAGCAGTACATTGAAGAACAGCCTCAGCAGGTGTACAAAGACCTCCTTATCACCTGACTGTCCATGGATCGTCTGCTCTACAGACTTAAATCATGTTTTAATTGAATATTTAATGAATCAATGAACAGATCTCGCAACGTTTGCTGGAGACAGGATCCAGATCCCGCTTATGGATAGATTTATCTAATTAATTGATAAGTGCATTAATTAAAGCAGCCCTAATATATATAATGTACAGTTTTACTTCCAGCAAAAATACGACAAATGCACATTTTATTAAATTGTTTAACATTCTTGTCCAGTTTGATTTTTGCTCATTTATTTGTTGAAACACGATCCAATGGGTTTCCAGAGTGAATCTAAGTTTTATGCCACAATGTTGGATTTTATTAAAGTACAGTAATTTTCCAGTGACTGAAATGCAACAATTGTGAGGGGGGGGGGGGGGGGTGTCAAAATGCAGAATAAAAAAAATGTGAGGATTGATAAACTAGTGAAACGAGTTTAATCTGCCTTTTCTTATCAGTTGATGCTACAAAGCTTTGAGTTTAGAATGCTGTCTCAGAATTATAATTAGGATGTTAAAAGAAGAGAAAATAAAGAAAATTCCCACTAAGCTGCTTTGAACTGTATTTTACTTCCAAGTCACGAGGTCTAGGAGTTTTACTGTTATTGAAATACAATCTTTAAAAAAATATCTGCTCACAATTAAACCCTTTTCTCCCAAACTGAGGTCAGAAGATGTAAATAAGTGAGCAGCTGCTTCAGACCTGGAACAACCAAACATTCGGTTAGTTGCTAATCAACTTTAATTGAATTGAATCCGAATCTAATTAACTTCATTTACTTTTGTTCCAATAGATGTCAGTGTCTTTCTGTTTTCTTCTGTTCAGTGCTCTGAGATTATTCCTGTTGTGACTTGGCTCTATAAACAGGTGCTGGTCATAAAATTAGAATATCATGAAAAAGTTAGCTTATTTCTGTAATTGCATTCAAAAAGTAAAACTTGTATATTATATTCATTACACACAGACTGATATATTTCAAATGTTTATTTCTTTTAATGTTGATTATAACTGACAACTAATGAAAACCCCAAATTCACTATCTCTGAAAATTAGAATATTGTGAAAAGGTTCAATATTGAAGATGCCTGGTGCTACACTCTAATCAGCTAATTAACTCAAAACACATGCAAAGGCCTTTAATTGGTCTCAGTCTAGTTCTGTAGGCTACACAACCATGGGGAAGACTTATGACTTGACAGTTGGCCAAAAGACGACCATTGACACCTTGCACAAGGAGGGTAAGAGACAAAAGCTCATTGCTGAAGAGGCTGGCTGTTCACAGAGCCCTGTGTCCAAGCACATAGAGAGGTGAAGGGAAGGAAACGATGTGGTAGAAAAAAAGTGTACTAGCAATAGGGATTACTGTAACCAGGAGACGATTGTGAAACAAAACCCATTCCAAAATGTGGGGGAGATTCACAAAGCATGGACTGCAGCTGGAGTCAGTGCTTCAAGAACCACCACGCACAGATGTATGCAAGACATGGGTTTCAGTATCTCAGAAAATTTGATTATTAATTAAGGCCAATAAAAAAATAATTCTTAGAAATGTTAGCCAACTGGAAAGTATGAACATGAAAAGTATGAGCATGTATGGCACTCAATACTTAGTTGGGCTCCTTTTGTTTGGATTACAGCAGCAATGCGGCGTGGCATGGAGTCGATCAGTCTGTGGCACTGCTCAGGTGTTATGAGAGCCCAGGTCGCTCTGATAGTGGCCTTCAGCTCTTCTGAATTGTTGGCTCCGGCGTATCACATCTTCCTCTTCACAATACCCCATACATTTTATGGGGTTAAGGTCAGGAGAGTTTGCAGGCCAATTAAGAACAGGGACACCATGGTCCTTAAACCAAGTACTGGTAGCTTTGGCACTGTGGGCAGGTACCAAGTCCTGTTGGAAAATGACATCTGCATCTCCATAAAGTTGGTCAGCAGCAGGAAGCATGAAGTGCTCTAAAACTTCCTGGTAGATGGCTGCATGGACCTTGGCCCTCAGAAAACACAGTGGACCGACACCAGCAGATGACATGGCACCCCAAACCATCACTGAATGTGGAAACTTGACATTGGACCCCAAGCAATGTGGATTCTGTGCCTCTCCTCTCTTTCTCCAGCCTCTGGGACCTTGATTTCCAAAGGAAGTGCAAAATTTACTTTCATCAGAGAACATAACTTTGGACCACTCAGCAGCAGTCCCAGGTGAGACGCTTCTGACGCATCTCTTGTTCAAGAGTGGCTTGACACAAGGAATGCGACAGCTGAAACCCATGTCTTGCATACGTCTGTACATGGTGGTTCTTGAAGCACTGATTTCAGCTGCAGTCCACACTTTGTGAATCTCCCGCACGTTTTGGAATGGGTTTTGATTCACCATCCTGTACAGGGTGTGGTTATCTCTATTGCTTGTACACTTTTTTCTACCACATCGTTTCCTTTCCTTCGCCTCTCTTTTAATGTGCTTGGACACAGAGCTCTGTGAACAGCCAGCCTCTTTAGCAATGACCTTTGTGTCTTACCCTCCTCGTGCAAGGTGTCAGTGGTCGTCTTTTGGACAACTGTCAAGTCAGCAGTCTTCCCCATGATTGTGTAGCTACAGAACTAGACTGAGAGACCATTTAAAGGCCTTTGAAGGTGTTTTGAGTTAATTAGCTGATTAGAGTGTAGCACCAGGTGCCTTCAATAGTGAACCTTTTCACAATATTCTAATTTTCTGAGATACTGAATTTGTGGTTTTCATTATTTGTCAGTTATAATCATCATTAAAAGAAATAAACATTTGAAATATATCAGTCTGTGTGTAATGAATATAATATATGCAATATTCAAGTTTCACTTTTTGAATGGAATTACTGAAATAAATCAACTTTTTCATGATATTCTAATTTTATGACCAGCACCTGTAAATAAACCGAATTGAATAGAATTTTGTATTCCAGTCATAATTTTTAATCTGAACCACACGAAGCAGACGCCAGCAGCCGAACCACACAAGATGTAAGAAGTTTAGTTTGTGTCTCTTTTAGTTACGTTAAATGAGAGTTTGGTTGTTTGGTGACACATCCATGATAGTGCAACTGTCTTCAATCAACACGAGAATTTATTTCTACTTCAGTGACAACAATGTTCGTTTTCTTCACTTACCTTATTCTCTTTGCAGAGCCACTGCAGGCCAGGACGGGGAATTACTGTAAATACTAGAAAACCTGCACCACTTAAAATAAAGTACCTTAAATGATAGAATGGGGGAGCGGTGGTGCAGAGGTTGGAGAAGGCAAGCCTGTGGTTGCCAGTTAACCTACCTGGACTGACAACAAAATGTGGGTGAGAAAGGTGAAGCACCCACGCCTGTCCCCACCCTCATTTGCCCCACTCTGGGCCCTTGAGCAAGGCCCTTAACCCCTACCATCTGCTCTCCGTGCAACCTAGATAGCAGCTCTCTGCTCCACAGGAAGGACATCAACGTAAAAACTATCACCAAGTCTTCATGCCAGTTAGTTCGCTGTGGCGACCCCTGAAGAAGGGAGCAGCCAAAAGAAGAAGAAGAAATGTTGGAAAAATAAATTGCTTTAAGTTGAGGCTAAGCTGCCTCCTACAATTTGTAGAAAAGCTGCACTGCGTTAAAAGAAATACTGTAAAACTTTCGCCTCATAAAAAACAACAACTGTAAAAATGGGGAAATCTATGCCACCTGAAACATTTTACTGTAATTTGTATAAAAGCTCCACCTCATTCAATGAATTACCATGAATGCAAAAAAAAAGCTGAGCTGCCTAAATTGAATTACCATAAATATAGGAAAACATTTGCAGGTACAAATATATATACACAGACATATTTATTTTAAAAATAATATAATTTAGTAAAAGTTTTCAGTGATCTGGTTTCAGAAAAGTCTTCGTTTGGGTCCAGATCTGTTCAGTTTTCTCAGGGACCCTCTTTTCCGTGTTCATCACTTTTAGCTGCTCGTCCACTCCATCAGTCAGCTGCAGTTTCAGGCTCCTTGAGTTAAAGAAGGCAGATTCTGCAGCTCTTTTCTCTGAAGCATGATTAAAAACATGTTTGGTACTTTCTGCAGGAGGAGACTCTCGGCCCGACTTCCCAGATCCAGACAAGTAGCAAAACGATTCTCTCCTGGTTTGGTTACATCTAGAAGTCTGCTTCAACAATAAGCCTCCCCTTGTTGTTCAGGAACGCCATCCACTTCCTGGAACTCGCATGGCGTTCCTGTGGAGGGCTTGTGGCCGTTCACAAGTTGTTCTGATGGCACTTCTGCGTCAGCTGGCTCTGTAGTCAAATACACGTCCCACATCTGCTCGGGGAGCCCCAGCTCCATCATTTTCTGTTTGATCAGCAGGTTCTTCTCGATGTTGTGCCGCTTGTATTTGAACTCTATGATTGTCTTCGTGTACCTGTTCAGCGTTGTCACCGCGGAGCCCATGCAGGTGCCGAAGGAGCACCACGCCAAGCTGAAAAAAGAGAAATTTAAATTCTACACGTTTGATTATAACGTTAGGATTAAAAACAAAGGAACTACAAAGTCTCTTCCTACAAATCTTCCCACGGATACGACTTGACCGCCCAAACAAGTTGAACTAAAGATCAGACATTTATGTCTCTCTTGGGTAAAATGGTTCACACAACTTGTTGAGTTGACCAATGTTTTACAGAGCGTTGCTTACGCATAAGACCAGCTGTAGTCCCAGGTCTTGGGCCTCCAGTCCTCTGGTCCCATAGAAACCGCCAGATGGAATATGGTGGTGAACATCATGTGGGCCACCATCCCACAAAGGCCTGAGAAACAGAGCAAAGCAGTTCCTCCTTTTGAGTTCTTTCCACTTACACAGTGAAACTGGTGTAATACCAACGATAATGAGACTCGGGTTCCTTTACATCCCAGTTTTTTGGATAATATTGATTTTGTTCATCACAAGAAAGTTTCTGGCGGAGTTTTGTTCAGATACATGAACCTCTGTCCAAAGCTGATGTACGAAATAATCGACTTGTTGGAAAGAAACAAACTCTGTCCAAGTTTCAGCTGAGGTCTTACATGGTCTTTACTCCCTTCAACATGTCTCCATGTCATAAAGAAGACAGGGTCTCAGAAGACCAGGCAAACACCAACACCTTAAACCAGCCCACCACCACTGTTTGACCATCAAATGTCCATCCTGAAGACTTTGTGAAGGGACTGATTTAAAGCAGACACTTCCCATTGCAGTGGGGGCTGAGATGGGGTAGAGGCAGGGCAGCCGACCCGGGACTCAAAAGTCCCAGGTTCGATCCCCAGTCATTGCACATCTCGTGGTGTCTCTGAGCAGGACACCCTATCCCTAATTGCTCCCCGGGCACCTTCAATAGCTGCCCACTGCTCCATCTGGGGGTGGATGGGTTAAATGCAGAGAGACAGTTTCATCATTATATGGGAACGTTGTAGTCTGCTAAAATGATGTTTGGGCAGTTTTTCATCAAAAACTGAGTAAAGGTCGTATTCCTAATCTGTATGGCAAAAGCCAAATGAAAGAACAAGTACATATGGAACTGTTTGGGAACATGGAGCAGAAACATCAAGCATCCGTTTATTGGAAACGGACTAAAGGCAGCCACCTACTATTATCCACCTGGAAAAGGGTTTTACTCTTCTATCAACGTTAATGTGGAGCATACAGCAACGTGTCCCTCCACAGATGTTATATCAAAACAACCGGCTCCGCACCGTGATGTGTGCGGAACTCAAGCAACGTGTATTCTGTGCCTCTCCTCTCTTCCTCCAGACTCTGGGACCTTGATTTCCAAAGGAAATGCAAAGTTTACTTTCATCAGAGAACACAACTGGACCACTCAGCAGCAGTCCCAGGTGCAACGCTTCTAACACCGTCTCTTGTTCAAGAGTGGCTTGGCACAAGGAATGCGACAGCTGAAACCAGTGTTCTTGAAGCACTGACTTCAGCTGCAGTCCACTCTTTATGAATCTCCCCCACATTTTGGAATGGGTTTTGTTTCACAATCCTCTCCTGGGTGCAGTTATCCCTATTGCTTGTATACTTTTTTCTACCGCATCGTTTCCTTCCCTTCACCTCTCTATGTGCTTGGACACAGAGCTCTGTGAACAGCCAGCCTCTTTAGCAATGACCTTTTGTCTCTTGCCCTCCTTGTGCAAGGTGTCAGTGGTCGTCTTTTGGACAACTGTCAAGTCAGCAGTCTTCCCCATGGTTGTGTAGCCTACAGAACTAGACTGAAAGACCATTTAAAGGCCTTTGCAGGTGTTTTGTGTTAATTAGCCGATTAGAGTGTAGCACCAGGCGTCTTCAATATTGAACCTTTTCACAATATGCTAATTTTCTGAGATAATGAATTTGGGATTTTCATTAGTTGTCAGTTATAATCATCAACATTAAAAATAAATAGACCTTTGAAATAAATCAGTCTGTGTGTAATGAATGAATATAATTTACAACTTTCACTTTTTGAATGGAATTACTGAACTAAATAAACTTTTTCATGATATTCTAATTTTATGACCAGCACCTGTATACAGTATCTACGTATATGTCTAAAGAGCCCTGATTGTATAAACCATGTGAAGCCTGAATATTATTGAAAACCCCGAGGATTAAATCTGTTTTAAAGACTGATTAATTTACAAACGGGTAAACTAAGCCATGAGATAGATGTGATACAGAAGCATCAGCAAGGTGAGGAAAATAAACCTGGCTGATTCTGGCCATCCTCAGCCAACATTTAGCCCACAGCTGTTTTTTCCTCAGGATTAACACAAAACAACAAGGGGATGGGGGGATGGGAGTCAGGCGCTGGAAGGGAGGTCCTCTGGGCAGGTCTTGGCATGGCCCAAAACCACTGCCCCGATTCCAATCGGATTACTCCACAAACCAACAAATCCTCTGCTGCAGCGGGTGGAGACAGTAGAGTTAGCTGCTCTGATGCTCCACTCTCAGCTTCATGTCAGCCCCTGTGACCTCTTGCCCACCTCCTTCTCTTACTTACTGATTGCTCCTCTTGTGGGCAGTCGCGTGAGACAGTGCGACCAAAGGCAGCTTGTTCACATCAACCGATACTTAGAATGAGCAATTCATTCAGGGATCGTCCTTCAGCCAGAAGATCACAGGTTTGACACCGAACTCTCCTCATTAGTCTTTTGTTGTGCTCCTTGTTTTAGGTCACTTTGGTTAAAAACTTTGGTGAAAGTTTGGTTAAAAACTTTGGTGAAACTTTGGTGAAACGGTGCGTTCGGACGTTTGGCTGTTACCTGAGAGGGCGGTGCACATGGCGGCGAAGGCACTGAGTTTCAGCTTGTTCATGATGCTAAAGCAAGGGCACTGCTCCAGGATCATCAGAGCCCCGCCGATGAAAAGCAGACTGAGGTACAGGCTCTCAGCAACCACACACAGCCACAGCACACCTGGAAACACAGGAAACACCGAGTATGTGTGTGTGTGTGGGGAGATCAGCGCTACGGTCTTCATTCACCCTGTGATTGATGCACAGTCCCACCCACTGACATACAGAACCTTAAAATGTATTCACACACCTTTAAGCTTCCCTGTTTTGTTACAACCACCAACCCTCGCAGCGTAGTTACCTCAGGTTATGTTTCAGAGCAACACGAGGTAGCGCACGATCGTGAACTGAAAATGATGCAGGGGTCAGGACTTCACAGATCTGCCTGTCTGTCTGCAGGTCTCAGTCTCCACCAGCTCAGATTGGATGGAGAGCGTGTGTGAACACCAACCTTCAAGTTCTGCTCATCTCTCATTTGGATTTAGGTCTGGACTTAGAGCTGACCTGTTCCTTTGTAGATCTGGTTGGATGTTTCAGGTCATTGTCCTGCTGGAAGGTGAACCTCTGAAGTCATTTTCAGCCTCTGACGGGTCTTCTTCCCAGACTGACCTGTATTTATCTTTGTCCTTCTTCACGTCACCTAACAAGCGTCTCTGTATCATCTGAAGCAAAGCACCGCCACACCATGATGCCGCCGCCACCGTGTCTCACTGTGGGGGTTGGTGTTTTCAGGCTGATTTTCAGTGTTGGTTTGGTTTGACTCCCCTGCTCGGCCTTGGAGCAGGCTAACTTATCAAATTTCTCCTGGGATATGTGTAAACTAAGAAGGATCTACTCCATACAACCCCCCCCCCCCCCTCCCCAAAGTACTTCTGTGAACACTTATCAGAACTGTACCAGCTGACAACGACATCTTATCAGGACTACGGTGCTATCTGGAAGTGCTTCATGGGCAAATCTCACTGTCTTGGCATCAAATGCAACGTGCCTATAAATGTGCTTGCTGGTAGAGTCTTGAATCGTGTTCTGACAAGGACAAGGTGTGAAGAGATCTTTTTTTTGTAATACCACTATCCTTTCCTCATGGTCTTTCCCCTTTTTCCATCTAAAGAATAAGGGGCTGCGCTCTTAGGAGCAGCAGAAACGTGCGCTCCGCCCATCTTTTGGACGACTGTACGAACATAATCTCACTGTACTTCAGTGCAAAGATAATGAAGCTTATTCTGACTCTGATCTGTGCAGAGCACCTTCCTCCACATGTCTGATGTGTTCCTTCTTGCCTGGAGGCAAACTTCAAACTCATCCTCTTCTGTTTTCTTCCACACTCTTCCTGCCACTCTTCCATGAAGGACAGATTTGTGGATTAATAATTGTCTCGTGGACAGATTGTCTCACCTCATCTGTGGATCCCTGCAGCTCTTCATGTCACCATGAGCTTCTTGGCTGCTTCTTGGTTGATGCTCTCCTGGATCAGCCTGGTGGTTTATGTGGACGGTCATGTCTTGGTAGGTTTACACGTTCTATTTTCAGATGATGGACTGAACAGAGCTCCTTGAGATGTTCAAAGTCTAGGGATACATTTTATAACCTAATTTAGCTCTAAACTTCTTAACAACTTGGACCCCTGCCCTGTCTGGTGTTCCTTGATCTTCATGATGCTGTTTGATCACTAATTTTCTGTCACAAACACCAGTGGACTCAACAAAACAGTAAAAATGAATTTTCAGTGAAAATGCTGCGTGAACGCTGAATGAATTCATGGAAATTTGTTAAAGAAGCTGAAACTAACAGATGTTAAAGGAAACGAGCAGAAAAGATGTGAAAATGAGCTAAATAGAAGCTAAAAGTGGCACAAGAGTAGCTAAAAGGAGCCAAACATTATCTGAAAGCACTTAAAGTAGCAAAACCCTAGCCTAACGATAAAAGGAGGTGAGCGCTTAACAAAAAGTGCCAAAAATATTAGATGAAAGTAGCCGAACGCTAGCTTAAATTAAAAACAGCTGTGCTCTAATTTGAGTTTATGATGTTTTACAAACAGTCAGAGATTTGTTGAAAATTACTAAAGAAGTTAAAAGTGATTTTAAAATAACTGAAGATTTAAAGTCCTTGTAAAGAAGAGACAGAAAAGAAGAAAGGACCTGAAGGATGGACACAGAAAAAGACGGTAAGGATGCTTGAAGAGACAAAAGGAGGCAAAGGGACAAAATGGACACAATGGGGACAAAACAGGACAAAAGAGGACACAGCTGGAGTCAGTCCACTGGCGACAAAGAGTTTAAAACTTTGAATGGTTGCAAGAGATCTCATGTTTTAAAATGCAAAGTTAAAAAAGGTAAATATTTAAAAGATCAAAATCTATAGCACCCATCGCCCAAACGAGCCGAAGGTTTTCATCCACAAACAGCCGAAATAGAGGGACATATATGGATCGCGGTAGAGTCCAAAAATCACACGGAGCCAGAATAAAGAGAAACAGGAATAAAACCCGTGTGTGCTGAGTTTTTACAGCATGCAGTGACGTCTGGAGGCCTTCCGGGTTTTACTTCCGATCAGAGCAAACGAGCTGAATATAAACGATTTCGCCCGTTTTATATAAAAATCTGACGATCAGGAATTATTTTCCTTCTCCACGCTGTGTTTCCCATGGAAGTGCAGTGAAAACATGAAGTTAGTGACGAGATGATGAGAAGGTCAAAGGGTGTGAACTCTCCTGCAAGGCACTAGTTCAGGGTTAGGATTTCAACCGACCTCTCTGATGCTCAGGAGCGATCTCTGCGAAGCTGCGACAGTCGAAACCTGCGGAAAATACAAGATTTATTTTGAAAATCTTTCCAGGAAGAACAACAAGCATCAACGCCATTTTTAAAAGTTGGTATTTTGACAATTATTCTTTTTTATTTTAAGTTAAATTGTTAAAAACATCAAAAGTTTTTTTTGTTTTTTTACTATTTACATATTTTCATGATGCGTCACATCAGGAAACATTTTGTTTGATAAAAGTTGTTTGGAAAATGTTTTAAAATTTCTAATTTTATGGAAATCTGTTGCAAAACAGAAGAAGCAAAAACAGCTAAAAGCTACCACGACTGTAGCTAAAAGTAAAAATGAGCAAAATATCAGATACATGCTTAAATGAACAAAATATTACCCCAAAATAGCTCAACAGTAGCCAAAAGCAGTAGGTAAAAACTAAAAGTGGCTAAATCATCAAATAAACAGAAATGTAGGCAAAAGCTCAAAGAAGAAAAATAGTAGCTAAAAGGAGATGAAGCAGTTGCAAAGAGAAATTTAAAGTGCTCTCTGTGCATTCTTAGAAAAGTATGAAAACTAAAATAATTAATTGACAAAAGTTACACAAACCAAAAGTCACAGCTGTAACACCCCGAACGAGCCAAATGTTTTCATATGAACGGTTAAAACAGCCGAAAGTTTTTCTGAAGTTGAGTCCAAAAAACAAAAGAAACCAAAAACAGGAAAACATTCATCAGTCACTTTTCTTCATTAAATAATAATTTTAAAAGAAGTAAAAAACTGAATATGAATAATCACAATACATGAATAATATACTGAATATTCTGTTTGGAGAATATTAATAAAATAAAAACTTAAAAATGTTATAATTAGCATTCCTAGAAGGAACAAATTTGATGTGTTGCTTTCTGTGCAAACTCTGGTTCATGCTTCAAGTTGAGGAAACTTTTAATGTCTGAAAATAATCAGATGCAACAAAACTAAAATATTACAGAAAATAAAATGTTATTTAAAACTAGAGAAATGTCATTTCCTGCGAATGCTTATTCGTTCATTTATTCAACCTTCATTTATACAGATCAATTCCATTATTGCAGAAGAACTTGATGCAAAACAGCTGAGATTAGCTAAAAACATACTGAAATGTAGCTGAAATGAAAGAACAAGTGTAAATTAGCAGAAGAAAGCAGAAAGAACACATATTTTCTGAATTAGGTTTAAATAAGCAAAAATGAGCACAAAAATGAGGAAATCATCTAAATAAAGATAAAATTAGCAATAAGCATCTAAAAAGTAGCTGAAAATGCAGAAAGAAGCTTAAATTATGAGAAAGAAGTGTAAAGAGCAGAAATGAGCTAAAATAAAATGGAATTAGCTGAAAAAGCTAAAATTTGCATAAAACAGCTAAATGATAGCTGAAATAGCAGAACAAGCTGAAACTTGCTGAAAAAACTGAAAGGAGCATAACAAGCTGAAATTAGCAGAAAGAGGTTAATGAGGCTGAAAGTGGCTGAAATTACCATGAAAAATGAATTTATCTGAAAACAGCTGAAATTAGCCTAAAAGCTAACTGAAAAGGTAGAACAAGCTTAAATTAGCAGAAGAAAGCAGAAAGAGCACGTTTGTCCTATCAGGCTGAAAGACACAGAAATGACCATAAACAAGTGGAAATTATCTGTAAAAGCTGAATTTAGCATAAACAGCTGAAAAGTAGCTAAAACAAAGCAGAAAGAAGCTTAAATTACTCAAAAGAAGTGGAGAGAGCACTTTTGTTTTGTTGCTGAATTAGGCTGAAAAACGTTGAAATGAGTGCAAGAAATGTGGAATTAGCTGAAAAGGTTTAAACTAGCATTAAAAACAGCTAAATAGTAGCTGAAATAGTAAAAAAAAAAAAAAAAGCTTAAACTTAGAGAATTAAGCTGAAAGGAACATAACAAGCTGAAATTAGCAGAAAGAAGTTAGAAGAAGCACAAATATGTTGTAGTTTGCAGAAAGAATCAGAAAGGAGCACAAAACAGCCGAAATAAGCTGAAAGTAACTAAAAAAATGTTTAAATTAGCTGAAAGAAGCTGAAGCAGAACAAAATACGAAAGGAGCAGTAAAAGGTTGTAAACAGATCTAAAGGATGTCAAATGAACTCTATTCATTTTCTGTGAGAAAAAATGGCAGAAAAGGCTAAATATTTCAAAAAGCTAAAGTTGCACCAATACCAAAAGTCATAGCAGGATTGTCCCAAAAGAGCCGAATGTTTTGATTTATGATTTGTTAAAATAGATTGAAAAGTGTGGAACGAGAAAGATAAGAAAAAAAAAGATGCTGAAAAATGTACAGAAGAAAGATGGATCACCGTGGAGTGAGTGCTTCATAAACATTTAGATTAAATGTTTATATATAAAACATACCTGAATTATTCCTCTCATTGCAGCCGAGCTGCAGATTATTTAACTTAATTGTTTCCTGCAACATGATTCAAATCAAACCAATTATTTGACTTCATGTTGGAAGAGATTAAAGAAGTTAGGATTACACGATTGTTCCTACCTGGAGTCGTGTTTCCAGCTCTAATCTCTTATTTTAGTGTTGTTGTTGTTTTTTTTGCACGTGTGCATGTTTCCTGCATTTGTTGTCTCTGCTCACGTGCACAGTGGCGTTTAGATTGCTTTACGAGTATTAACATTTACTGAACGTCCCTCAGCATGTGAGGCTTCTGGAAACGTTTGTCACCTGAAATGAAGGATTCAAAAATTTTGTTTGAGCTTAAATTCTCGTGGACGAATCAGATTTTATGAGCTGGACACAGGAACCGTCTGAGTCTGCTGCTCCTTCCACCCGACCTCACCGTTCATGTCGACGGCCTGCTCGCAGGAGAAGAAGATCCCGGTGTGGAACTTCCTCATGATGAACTTCTCCTCCCCGGTCTCGAAGATGTACTGCACCTGCCGGCTGTCGTTCAGGTTGGAGCTGTTGAAGCGGATGCAGAACATCTGCTTCTCCTTCACGGGCGGCCCCGTGCAGAAGGGCTTGGCCACCTTCCTGGTGCCCTCGCACCAGTAGCTGGTGGTCACCGCCGACACGGCGAAGGCTAAAGCCACGAAGTTGAGGGCGAGAGCCAGGGAAGCCCGGCGCCGGTGCTCCAGCCCCATGGTCCAGGCCGGGCCAGAGGAGACAGAACGGAAAGGCGACTAATCCTGGCTTGGAGCGTGCGGCCGCAGGGCTTTTCCTCCCCGCAGAAATGTCAAATCTTCATAATCTTGTTGCCTGTGGGGCTCCTTCTGGACCGCGTCCCTCCTCCAGCTCTGTTCTTCTCTGAACCTCCACAGGAACCAAACAAATCCTCCTGCACTCCTGACTTCATCCCACACGTCCGTTCACGCAGGATCACCCACCACAGACGATAAATTCTGCTCCGGTTTGCGTCTCTGCTGAGATTTAATCCGAGCGACGCTCCGGCTGCAGACGACACCCGGCGTCTGCAAACCGACTGCAGCAAAAGATCAAGAACCCGCTTCACTTTGAGCAGTGACATAATGTGGCAGTCTCATGAAAATCCACCATAATAAGCTTCAGTGCATGTGTGTGTGTGTGTGTGTGTGTGTGTGTGTGTGTGTGTGTGTGTGT